GACTGAAATCTACATATATGGAAGAGGCTGATGTTCTTGATTGATGAAAGGCACAAAGGGAGAGATTTTCAGGCCATGGCGAAAACTCTGATATGAGACTTGTGCGTCATGCGTCGTGTTTTAGTCAGGACAGCCGCCAGCAGATGTTTACCAGTAGAGTAATCCGACTCAGTCCGGCCGTCCCACATGCACACACACTGAGATAGACGTCTCCTTACCTCTGCATGTACCCACCATTGCGACACACACCGGACATGACCTCTTTAACAGGCTTCTGTCTGTGTTTTAGGGTTATTTTTCAAGTATAGAAAAAATCAAAACAGTATGACTGAGTGTGCAGGGTTGCGTGTGCACATGTGATTATATGTGCAATTTTGTGTGTTCGGTTTTGTCTCGTCATCCCTCACGTCACATGTTTGCCCAGACTCCATGCTCAGTAATCCCACTCTTTTGCCAATATTTCTGCTCAATCTGGTTTCATCAGGTCAGGATTAGCAGAGATTAGTCAGATGCCCAGCCGCTGGTGTGCACATTCACTCATTCATTAATTATGTTAGTGTTTCTGTTATTAGAATGGTAGCACATCACGTTTCTGTTTATATATTTTTCAACTCCAAACCATACGTATTAAACTTTGGTGTGTAACTTAACATGCACCGTTTGTGCTCCAGATACAAACAGGACTTTGACTTGGTGGAGAAAACTGGTAAATTCCATTGACTTATATTGAAATAGGGATTCAATCCAAAGAGTATCTAGAGACCAAAATAGACTTGGTTCACCGCCTGGAGACACCGCCTGGAACACCAACTGTTTTGGTCCGTAATTTTAAAATTGTGCTGATGCTGTCTGAATATGTGTCTGGCTTTTGGGAAATAATAGCCACGACAGATGAAGTATTATCTGTCATTCTAGCAGAGAATTTTGAATGACGGATAGTGACTCAAAAGAAACTCACCACAGGAGGAGGTTTGCAACATGGGGATTGGACACAATTGTTCATCGTCAAAGCTAATACTTCCGCTAGAAAAGAGCCTTAGCCTGGACAAAGTGGTGAGTAGGAAACAAATTCTCAAAATTACCCCATTTTTCTGGTCCTTTTTAACACTACGATCATTACACATTTCCTAAGGACAACAAAAGAGTGACAGGAAACTACAAGGGAGAGAAAATGGGTTCGGGAACTAATCCAACACAACGCTAACTACTGAATTTGAATTGAATTAGGCAGATGCAGAATTGACATTATACGGATGTGGAATTAATATAAAATGGAATGGCACTATATAGTGTTTAAATGTAGTAATTATTTTAGCTTAGTCATAAAACTGGCATTGTACTAATAAAAGTCCTCTGTTGTGTGACTGTTTCTTTGAAGTGCAGGTCAGTAAATTCCTCTTCCTCTCATTCTGTGTGCATGGCCAATTCAGTTCATTCAAATCTTTGCCCACCCTTGATGAGCATTACAGCTCAGTATATCAGGAATTTATGCATTAACCACTTCTTAACTAGCCTTCTAGACAAGGTAGTTCATTATACACAATCAACAGTCCATATCACTACTTAAGTATTGGACATTCTCATACTAAAAGAAATTTAAGACTACTTGTATGGTACTGCAAAAATTTTGAACATTTTCCCCCCGGGCTCTATGCAAATCAAAGTCATACTGTTAATCCAATTTAGCCCACTGCAAAAAGACTGGCAGGATGTTACTTTCTGAAAAGCTCAATGTGTCAGATTTGAATGAACATTTAATTTCATACAGATTCTGGCTTTTTAAATCACTTGAACTATTTTTTCAGTCCTTCATGTAAAAGAATCAAATAAAAAAATATGTCATAACTGAAGAGTAAAGATCTGTAATCCAGTTACTTTGGTTGAGATTCTAATACTAAAACTTTGAAAAGTAAATACATGTTATTGAACAACTGGTTGCATGTGCATTTGATATAAAATAACTGAAATGTGTTGCTAGAGAATTACACGTTGGGGAATGTAATGGTGGGTGTTCATATGAAATGTCTTGAGATTACCTTGAACAGATGGTGGCATCGGTCAGCACTTTGAATAGCTCTGCAATACACCGTAACATATCATTAGACCGTTAGCATCTCGCTCAAAAATGACCAAAGAGTTTCTATATTTTTCCTATTTAAAACTTGACTCTTCTGTAGTTACATCGTGTACTAAGACCGACGGAAAATTAAAAGTTGCGAGGCCGATATGGCTAGGAACTATCATTCCGGCGTAATAATCAAGGAACTTTGCTGCCGTACCATGGATGCAGCAGGCGCAATGATATTACGCAGCGCCTGAAAATAGGCTTATTGGAAGTTACCTAGCAGGGGACCTCAACTATCTCGACGACTGGCTCATACTCGTACAGTCTCACGATCAGTTGTGCGCACACAGGGACCTGGTGCTCAGACACCTCAGCCAGTTGGGTCTTCGGGTCAACTGGGAAAAGCGCAAACTCGTACCAACGCAGAGGATCTCTTTTCTTGGTATGGAGTTGGATTCGGTCAGCCAGACAGCACGCCTCACCCAGGAACATGCTCAGTCGGTGCTGAACTGCCTAAAGACTTTATCAGGCAGGACGGCGGCCCCACTGAAATTCTTTCAGAGGCTCCTGGGGCATATGGCTGCTGCTGCGTCGGTAGTTCCGCTCGGTCTGCTCCATATGAGACCGCTTCAGCACTGGCTCCATGGCCGAGTCCCGAGGTGGGCGTGGCGACGCAGTACTCACCGGGTTCAGATTACACCAGAACCTTCAGCCTGTGGTCAGATCCCTCATTCCTTCTGGCAGGAGTGCCCCTGAAACAGGTATCCAGGCATGCTGTGGTTTTCACGGATGCCTCGGCCACCGGCTGGGTTACATACGTAACCGAGACGTTTCCCAGTAACCCTATTAGTAATTGGACTATTACCAGTAATTCATCTTGCAAATAATTAAACGAAAATAAGCTGGAATTAACAACGAAAACATTTGTTTGTCATATAATTATCCTTAAGTCAGTCTTATCTCCATCATTTACCGCTGTCATGTTTCCTCTTTTCCTCCTCTTCTTGCTTTTTTCCACTTCTGGCTACCAGACATCCTCTTCATGTTTAAATTAGCAAATGCACGAGTAAGCACTGTGTCCGTTTGAAAACAGCAGCCGACGCATCACGAGGAAAAAGCAAGCACATCCAGCGTAAGGCGAGAGGGGGCCCCCTAGGGGGGATGCAGATACACTGCTCCATGTTACATTAATAATGACATTTCCGATTGTTCAAATGGTCAGCTGTCGGAGGCCCCCCAATTGCCTGCCCTATTGCTACGCCTATTGCGATTGCTCAACATCTCTCGAGAGCTTCAATCACTTCACTCAACGGCTCTTACCTGTTGTAGTAACATGGTGTTAATGATCTGTCCTTTTCGCTGACCTTTCCCTACCAATCATTTCCTTCTTTTGTCTTGCTTTTTCTTAGGTTCATCCACTGCTATCCTCACCATGCCCTTGCTGACTTGTGTTATTTTGTTCTTTTTTTTTCTCCACGTTCTTCTGGTCAGCGCAGTTGAGACTTTAGATGGAGTTGAACCTAACCGTTAGAGTTCAGGCAGGTCCATGAGTAAAAATATCTTATCTGCCAGCATGCATTAGCAACACAAAGCAGTATGTTACATGTCTGAAATACCTCTGCTTGGGTAGCTGATAATGAGTATTAATGCTGACTTGAACTCGGGCTCATTTTTTTTCTGGATGGAAGTGTGGCTATAGAGTCATCTATAGACCTTTGAGGGTGTGGACTGTGTCATGTTACTGTGGCAACACTGCATCGGCTTCAGGTATCTGGATTCTTTATAGTTTGTCTTTAGTGAAAAACAATGCAGCATCAGTATTCAAACTGGTTTATAAAAACACAAGAAAATACAAGTAAGAAAAAAACACAATTCACTGTTTTAGCACAAAATCCTTCATCTTGATTCACAAAGCACCTACAGTCAACTTAAACAGCTGGTTCTTGTGCTGGTGTAATGTTAGGATCTGAGTATTTGAAGAAGATGAAAGATTTATGGGTAAAAATAAGAATTTTTGCATATATTTTGATCAAGTACATAACACATTGTTCAAATCTGTAATTATTGAAAAACACACTGAAGCAGGAAGAAAATGTGAAAACTCACTTGTGTTTCTTCTAAGAAAACTTCTCGCTGCATGCATGAGAGCTAGAGATTCGCCAAACATCCAAACAAACTACCCTGCATTTCTTTTCTTTATCAGGATTTAATCAAATGCGTTTCTGCAACAGTGTTTGCAAATTGTAAGAGGAAATTAATCGTGTAATATTATGAGAGAAAATGCAGTTTGACACTTCAAGGGTGCTCTGACATTCTTCTTTGTGTTTTTAAGCCTGTAGAGCAGCTAAAAAAACTATACTAATATGTTCATATGTAAATATTTCATAATAGTATTATAAACACTACAACATTAACAGTTAAAAATACTGTACAGTAGACTTGTGCCGGTATTCGGTAATGCGATATATCACGGTAATGAATATGCACGATATTGTTATCATGGGCTCTTCTAAATACCGTGAATAATTATATATTACAAGTTATTCAGAATTTTGAATGCATTTAAAGAATACTTTTCCCATCAATTGGTCAAAATGCACATCACCGCTGTATGCTGCGTGAAAGAGGGATGCGCACTCTGACGTAAACAAGCGCGGACGAGAAGCACATGGCGGAACACGTGAGAGCAGACATCTTAATTTATATATAATTTACTTTTTTAATGTTATTGATTTTTTTATTTTTATTTAATTAATTTAATGGATAAAATGTTTTCTGTGGACATCGTATACAGGGGATGAAAAGGGGAGAAAGTGAGAGTGGATACAAGAGAGCGACGAAGTGAGAGAGAGAGAGAGCGAGAGAGAGAGAGACAGAGAGAGAGAGAGAGAGAGACAGAGAGAGAGAGAGAACGTAAATAAAGCTCTCAGCATCAAACGTTCAGATGTTCGTGAGTGTTTGGCATTCGTCACATCACTGTTTCCTCTTACTGGACTGTACCTCTCAGCTGACTAACGAAGCTCCGGAGGATGTGATAAGGGTCTTCAGGCTTTAACAGGTGGCGGGTTGAGGGTTCGAGTCGTGGGCAGCATGAGCGCGGATTGCGCGGAATATTACAGCACGGAGAACGTGTTTGTCAGCGGCTTCACGTGCCCCAAGACCGACAACAACGCGCGCGCGATCTTCTGCTGCGGGTTCAGTGACGTCAAATACTGCTGCGACGATCCCAACAGCTTCTTCCCTTATGAGTATGGATATATGTGGTGGCTCAGGTACGACACCGATATTTTATGTATCATTTGTCATGAATCCCTAATTTAAAATAATTAGGCTATTCTACTGTAGCCTATATATGGCAGGCTACCTGTTGTTTTCGACAAATTAGGCTACTACTGTTGCTACAGTTGGTGGCAACTTTCTAGTCACCGTCATAAAAACGTAAAAATAAAAAAAAAATAAAAATAAAAAAGTTTTTGGAAGGAGTAGCCTAACTGATATTGTGTGAATCTACTTATCATGATGAATTCTTTACAAAACACTTTATCATCTTATTGTATCTTTATACAAACAACAACTAAATGGATTGTTCTCTCGAATTTTTTTTCATTCTCCATGTCCAAAATTGAATTTTGCTCACCCTGATGCAGGTCGTTCAGAACTTGAACTAGTTTAATTATTTTGTTGAGCAAATAAGATTATGGTTTTTTTTTTCTTCTGTGTTTGTATTGTATGTATCTCAGGGGAGCAAAGTGTCTGAGGTTCTTCCAGCCTTACAGTATTAACTTTTGTTATATGGATAGGCTAATATATTCTGCAAAACATCTTTTGAGATGTTTCCCAGAGCTAAACAAGGCGCAAAACCAAACAGATCTTCACAAGACAAACATTGTTTTAAATGCAAACGTTCACAAATGAACACTGAGGTGGAAATAATGTAGTGCGAAAGGGAGTTTAGAAAAACCAGTAAAACATAACAGAGATGAAAATTTAACTGAGAAACTAAGACTTGTAATTTGCTTCTCAGGTTAATTTATATTGTTTTAAGGATGTTTACATTATTTTACTGTGAAAAAAAACCGACAAGGGTTTTCAGACAATATGTGCTCTAGCTTTACAACATAATCGAAATTGGACATGAAATCTTTGTCGGGAAAACAAGTTTAGGGTCTATTGATTGATTAGATGGCCAAGGTTGAAGAAATTAATACAGTCTTTCCAGTACAACGTATAACACAACAGATGTTCACAAGAAATATGCAAAAGGAAAAAGAACAGCAAAATAGAATAAAATAAATTGTGCTGAGACATTGTGTAATATACTCAGAATTGTTCAACAGGGAACAGGTTTAATTGTTGATTGATCAGAGGAAGGGTCACAGGGTACAACAAGAGGTTTCTTCATCAAGGTTCATCATCAATTATTTGATGAGGCATTAACCTCAGCAGATAGCTTTAGTCAAGTGGTATGATCAAATGCTTGAGTCTTAATCAAGTGCTAATTTGATGAACACTTTACGCACAGTAACCTATAATGATCTCACAAGACTTGAATAAAGATGCTCTCATGAAACAAGGGTCTATTTAATGGTATTAACTCCAGAGCATTGATTGACAGATTAAACTGAAATTAAATGACTAATTCATTAATGCAAATTGTTGCGCTTATCAGTGCCATCGTGTGTAATCAGAATAAAACATTAAAGATTCAAGAACGGCATAATTTGTGTACATTGTGCATAGATCCATTCTTATGTAAATTGTTGCAGTAACTTAAAAGCTGCAATTTACGTCAAGAAAGGCAGAAATGTGTGGTTCTTGAAAATTCTGATGATAAGGGCAACAATTTGCATTCATTATAAATATTTATGACTGTACTTTAGTTGAATACTTGCCAAAACAAATGCAAATCACAACACCTGGCTGTTATAAACGGCCTTCTATCAGGTGTTAATTAGTTTTACTGGGTGATCACGGAGGAGAGTTTATTTTTGCTCGGAGGTTGATCTTAGCTATTCAGACTAAATGCATTATCACTTAGGTTTGTTGAAGTATAAATTTAGTCTCAGATATGTCTCTCAAAGTTCCTTTAAAGAAATAAAAGGGATTTTTTTTTTTTACATATACAGAGAATAAATTAATTTGGAGAGCAGATAATTTAGAATTTGATGAGAAATGGTGGTGTTCAGGTTAAGATGTTTGAAAAGCATATTCATTTCTATTTTTTTGACAGCATGACATTTCAGAGAAGTCTGTGGGCACTCTGTAAAGTACAGGAGTTGCTCATGCCGCCCTCTTGGAGTTTTATAGAGTTTTAAAAGAGTGTGAATGAGAATCATAAGCTCTGTTCCATAACCTACACTTTTAAAAATAAAGGTTCCAAATGGAAGTTTCTGCAGCGATGATCTAGAAGAAGCATTTTTGGGTTCCCAAAAAACCTTTCACTGTTACCATTTTTTTTTTGTTAGTGTGAAAAACATTTTTAATAATCTAAAGAAGCTTTTTCCTCTATAAAGAACCTTTTGCACAAAGGAAAGATTCCATAATTGTTAAACGTTCTTCACTGCAACCACCTTAACATTGTGGCAGCAAGTTTTCCATGGTTCTAAGGTCTAAATTTAAGGTCGTTAGTGTGAAAAACATTTTTAAAAATCTAAAGAAGCTTTTTCCTCTATAAAGAATCTTTTGCACAAAGGAAAGATTCCATAATTGTTAAACGTTCTTCACTGCAACCACCTTAACATTGTGGCAGCAAGTTTTCCATGGTTCTAAGGTCTAAATTTAAGGTCTGCTGGTGCAGAAATGACACTCTTCATCTTTAATGAGCGATGCACTTTTAGGTTGTCTCTTTACAAGTTGTCTAAATGACCCACTGTGGCTCTTTAAGTGCAGTTTCTCCGCAGGTGATGCTCTGCTGCTCTGAAACCTTTTATGCACCAATGAATGTGAAACATTCATTAACATTAACTGATTCATGTAAGAACTCGTTTGCTGTTTTCAAAGCTGCTTTTAATTTGTTATCAGGCATGCAGAAGTGTGACGGCATGCTTTAATAATCTAAAACAAAGTTGTTTGTGCTTTCAACCCATGATTTTGTGGGGGAGGAGAAGGATGTTTGAAGGGAGTTGTTTGAAAGTGGGAAAACATCTAACCAAATAACTGCAAGTGATAGTCTTTTATTCTAATCACATAATGGATTTTTATGCATTCAGAAATATGCAAATGTGTCTCTGTGTGTGTGTGTGTGTGTGTGTGTGGGTGTGTGTGTCAGGCATGCAGAAGTGTGACGGCATGCTTTAATAAACTAAAACAAAGTTGTTTGTGCTTTCAACCCATGATTTTGTGGGGGAGGAGAAGGATGTTTGAAGGGAGTTGTTTGAAAGTGGGAAAACATCTAACCAAATAACTGCAAGTGATAGTCTTTTATTCTAATCACATAATGGATTTTTATGCATTCAGAAATATGCAAATGTGTCTGTGTGTGTGTGTGTGTGTGTGTGTGTGTGTGTGTGTTTGTATGTGTAGACAAACATTTGTATTTTTACTAGATATCTTTTCTATTCTGCATTAGTGGCCAAATTCGTAACTAAAGACTATACATTTCTGACTAATAATATACACTGAACAAAATTATAAACGCAACACTTTTGTTTTTGCCCCCATTTTTCATGAGCTGAACTCAAAGATCTAAGACTTTTTCTATGTACACAAAAGGCCTATTTCTCTCAAATATTGTTCACAAATCTGTCTAAATCTGTGTTAGTGAGCACTACTCCTTTGCCGAGATAATCCATCCACCTCACAGGTGTGGCATATCAAGATGCTGATTAGACAGCATGATTATTGCACAGGTGTGCCTTAGGCTGGCCACAATA